GTCACACGCCTAACTTTGGATTCAGATTCAATGTTGGCTCCCGAGAAGGGCTGAAGGCCTTGTCCCAATCTTAGAACACCTGGTGTCTATAGCCTGGCGCCATGTGTGCAGTTTCCAGTGTCTACCTTGTGACTCTCCAGTTCTGTCCTTAGCGACACTCGTTTGTTTCTGATTTCTCTTCCCAGCCACATCGATGCACTTCTGCTGTACACAGGTTTCATCTAATCACAATCTCAACAGCTACACAGATGGCGCCGAACTTTTACAACACGCAGAAGCTGGCCCTCAAGGCCTTTTCTGACATTCTAAACGGTGGCCACCTAAGCTCAAACAGCCTTGCCAGCCATTCCCCTCTCCCGTTGGCCTGTGCTCACACGTGCAGGGCACTTTGACTTTCCTCTCTCCCGCATCGCCAGGAACCCAACCCTGGCAACCTTCTGCTCTCTCCACAGACACCATGCCAGTTCACAGTCTCTAGACATCAAGCAGATACTAAACCACACTACTTAAAGCTGCTCTCCTCACGGAAAGGGGCTGTCCCCTCTGTCCCCATGGCCCACCTCTGCCACCACTTCTGTAACGGTTCTGATATCTTTTCTTCACCGCGGGCTCAAACCCAGTGTTCTAACCTTCTAGCGTTACCTCCCGCAAAGCGTCTGTGTGAGTGTCTAGTTTGGTCATTATGGTCTCCTTAACATTCAGAACCTGCTCTATGTATCCTCTACATCACTTCTTCACGATTCACCTGACCTTTGATCTCTTCCTCGCCAGTCTAACTGGACGCACTCTCACAGCGTCAACCCGGAACACTAAAGTGCCCAGGACATGGAGTCCAAGTGCTTTTCTTTCTGAACAGTTCTCTTCCACCATGTTTTCTATTGTTTCCTGTAGGCTGGCTGCTGTGCTAGCCGCTTGGGCTTGGAGCTCAGTGAGGATGCTTCGAGCCATCCCAGGGACACATAACGCTCAAGAACACTGCAGAAGCTAAGGGGAACAACAGGCTGCTGAAGGCCGTCGGTGAGGGTGAGCGGGGGCCAGGTGTTACATTAACCTGCGTCCATTCAGTTCAGTAGGGAAAAAAAAGGGCTCCTCTAAGTTAGGGAACACCTTTTAAGCGGGGATGAAGAATGAGTAGAAATTAATTCTGCAGAAAGAAGGAGAACCCAGAGGAAGCTTTTCCAAGCAACTATAAGAAGGCGAGGGCGCTGGTGGAGAGGAGCATCGTACAGTCAGGGAGGGCCCGCACAGGCCTGGACTTAAAGGTCATGCTCAAGGTCGGGGGGCTGGGTCCTAAGATGTGGGCCTAGAACAGCATGGTCTGAGACACCAGGGAAGGACCACAACTAACCCTGGCATAGGCAAGGATAGAAAAGTACAAAATCAGTAAGAATTCTGGAGTTATTAGAATATATGTGCTTACCATCATTATTGTTTTGTTTTTCTTTTTTGTGGTCTGATCCAAATCCAAGGAAGGAGAAAGAGGAGGGTGTAGTGAGTGGCCTATTTGTTTATCCTGATCCTTATTTACCGCGATATCAGGGGAAAAACGAGGAGGAAGAGGAGGAGGAAGCATATAACTTATAAAGCTAATTTTCAAATAGTTCACTTGGCTTTGAGAAGAAACCGTGCGTGCGCGCGCGCGTGTGTGTGTGCATGCGTGTGCGTGCGTGTGTGCATGCGTGTGCGTGCGTGTGCGTGCGTGTGTGTCACGGTGTCTCTTCACAGTGATACAGCAGCCCTGAGACAATGGCTCAGTGGGCAAGGGGGAGCTGGATCCCCCGAACCCACAGCAGGTGGAAGGTCACCTGTGCGCACCTCCATCTGCGTGTCACAGCACGTGTGTCATGGCCTCCACACACACACACACACACACACACACACACACACACACACACACGATAAATGAGGTACAGAGCAAATGAATAAGACATGTCAAACTCAGGCCTCTACATGATCGCACATACAAGCATGCATGCGTGTACACATACATAACCCTGAAAGCGATAAGGGGCGGTCCAGAAAGCAGCAATAACACGTTGCCGCGCTCCACGTGAAAGTTCGGTTAAGTGTTCATGCTCTTTCCCTGTAACATCTCCCATGAGGGAAAACAGTATTTTCCCATGACTAACGTACACTGCTCTTTAGTCTCGCTGTTTCTTTCAAATTGTGATTACAAATATGAGTATTCCCTCCAAAACTGCAATTATGTATCAAGGGTAAAGTAAAGGAAGCCAGAGTGGCAAAAGTTAAAAGAATTACAGCGAGAACTTTTACTGATGTCTGTGTCCCGAGGATTGGACAGAGTGCCTTAGTACATACAGTATCGCGTGTTATCATGCCATCCTCGTGACTCTGAGAGGTGCATGTCCTGAGTACTTTAACACATGTGTTATCATGTCATCCTAGTGACTCTGAGAGGTACATGCTACTTTCCATTTCACAGAAAAGGAAACATAGGCCTATAACATAATCAAGTATTTTCCTAAACCATGTGCAGTTCAATGTTGTAGCCTATGGCTAATGAACACAGATTTTTAAGACATAGCATAGTAAAGTATCTGATTTTTTTAAATACTGAATGGCATAAATATTTCATGGACCATATTTTATATTTAGTTGGTTAAAGAAATGTACGAATAAATTACTACTTCTTTAAGCTCATTTGAAAAATCATCTACCATAAATTTTCTATTTATCCACGTGGTTCACACTTTCTCTATCCAACAGTGTGGCCTTGCACGCACACTGGAGGTTGAATAGGCCAGCAGACACCAAGCTGAAAGACAGATCTGTGCAGAAGAGGCTATACGGGCTCAGGGAGATCTTAAAAATTCTGTGTGTCAGTGACTGGTCATGGGTAAGGTATCAAGTCTCTGCATTTCGGATAGGTCAACTGTAGAACGTCACTTTAAATTACCCCCCAAAACTGCTACATAGAAAGCAAACAGGGACACGAAGAGCAAAGGGAGGGATTACTGAATACTTCTTATAGCGACTGGTGAACTAAAAATCTGGTCCCCAGAGAGTACAAAGTCCACTTATTTGAAAACCATGTGTTAGTATCTCGTAAGAGGAATTCGGTAGCTCCTACTCCCTGTTTCAGGGTGCCCCATACCCTGACGTGGAACATGAATAACCCCTGCTCACCCTCTTGATGTTTAGACTTAGGATGATCAGAAGCCAAGGACCCAGAGGCAAATGATAAAGTTCGGTGAGGTACAAAACCGGGCCATGAGAGTAGGTGCCCAAGCCTGACACGGGCTAAACTCTAATCTCAGTACTCCACTGGCGGAGGCAGGGGCATCTCTGTGACTTCAAGGTCAGACTGGCCTATATGGTGAATTCCGGGGCAGCCAAGTCAACGCAGAGAGACCCTGTCTCCAAAATAAAGACGAGGGGGCCGAGAGGGCTTCATGACACCGTCATCCGTCCCAGTGGAAAACCCTGCTCAGCTCTGACTCGGTTCATCAATGGTCTTCGGACACCGGAGTTGGAAGTAGTGAGTCTGGGGGGATTGGAACCCTGGTCTACTGTCCTGAGCCGAGCCGCCAACCAACTGTTCTAGTAAACCAATCACCCCATTATTATACCTGAGAAGTGTGAGCGGCACAGAGTCACCAGGGACTACAACGGGGTGCGGAGCGTCCCAGCCAGCACCTCACCAGTCACACAGGTATGTGGGGCTGGACAGCTGGCGCGCTGTTTATATCTACAGACAGCTTCAGGAAAATGCATTAATGCACCCACATGTGTGCACACATGTGTAAAGAATAAGACTGGAGAAGTTAAAGCTGTACGGGTCACCAACTTTGGGAAGAGATGGTGTACCCACTGTTGTGTAGTTTGGAATTTAACACAAGAATGTAGAAATCTCTGCTGACATGCATACTCAAGTATGGGAGGGGCAGTGAGGACCCGGCATGCCCTCTGACTTCAAGCGCAAGGTTAAAAACTAAATCGCTCTGGTCCTGAAGTGAGTACACCCTAACTGGTTGGTGAACATCAATTGTGTCTACTTAAACTTCCAATAGTGACTTCAACTTTAGCTACACAACTGGAAGAATTCTGAAACATTATCAGTAGTGTTTAGTTTATAAGGATCTGAAGAGAAAGTTACCAGTTAAGAACTGGAAAAGTTGCCAAAACCCTGCAGTAACAAGTTAGATTTCCAGTATTTGAAAGTTAAGGGGGAAATACATGGTATCAACCTAAGACAAAACATTGAAACCTTTAGGGCTTCCAGCAACATCCAAAATGCATCCTCTGAACAGTTTACATCAGGAAAAACTCGTTTGCATCAACTCCCCCCCCCCACCCCACACACATTAACTTTAAATTAGCTAATACACAAGCCACCACTTACACTAAACTTCTGTTTGGTTTCCAAGAATGGCCTCCATCCCTTTTGGATCAGGAAAAGAGAGTAGATTTCATGAGGGGGGCGGGGGTGGAGCTTCGTTCTTTCAATGTAAATGTCATAAGCATGCTTCTATATGCCAACCCTGCAGAATACTGTGAGATCTTCAAATTATCTCACAATGTGCCTTTTAAAGTTTTGCACTAATTCATTCCTGCCAACCTCCTGGCGACATTTAATCTTTTCCGCAACGAGGAAGGCCCTCTGGACTCGTATTGACACTGTCACAGAATACATGTGTGTAAGTTTTGGCTGTCAAACCTCACCAGGGTGGGTTTGAGCGCGCGCGCTCACCCTGCACAGGCGCGCCTACACTCAGCTCCCCTCTCCCTGGCGCCCACCTACTCATCCCTTCTCTCCTGGCAAGTTTGAAAGTTTGCTTTCTCCGGGGGGTACAGAAAGCAAGCGCTACCGACGTCCTAGAGACAAAGGGCTGAGCTGGGGTTTAACGGGATGCCCAATTTTAGTGGCGACACAATGCCCGCAAAGTGTGAGCCCCGGGAAGGAGGTGGCGCGGCCCCGGGCCGGAGCCGGGGCCGGGGATGGGGATGGCCGAGGCCCCCGCGCGCCCCGCTCTGCTCACCGCTTCACGCGGATGATCTGGTCCCGCATGGGTTTGATGTCCTGGAAGCTCTGCTGGTTCACCAGGCTGTAGACGAGGATGAAGCCCTGGCCGTTCTTGATGTACAGGTCCCGCATGGACGCGAACTGCTCGGTGCCCGCCGTGTCCAGGATCTCCAGCACCGACGGCGACGAGTCCACCTCGATCTCCTTGCGGTAGAAGTCCTCGATGGTGGGGTCGTATTTCTCGATGAAGGTGCCGGTCACGAACTGCACGGTCAGGGCGGACTTGCCTACCCCGCCCGAGCCCAGCACCACCACTTTGTACTCGCGCATCCTCCCTGCACGGCCGCCGCCGCCCGCGACATAGACCTGCGTCCGCGCGCCGCGCCCCGGACCCCGCGGCCCCGCCGCCCTGGGCGCCCAGCGAGCCGCGCGGCCCGCCCGGAGACAGGGCCGAGCCGGGCGGCGACGCGGCAGCCCCGAGGGCGCCGGCTGCAGCGACGGAGCGCGAGCCCGAACCGGAGCCGCCCGAGCCGCGGGCCCGCAGTGCCGTCCGCCCCGCCCCGCCCCTCGCGCCTCCACGCCCAGCTCCAGCCGCCGCCGCCGCCGCCGCCGCCGCCGCCGCCTGCCCGGCGCTGGAGCGCGCGCCCGAGCCCCAGCCCCAGCCGCAGCGCGGCGCAGCGCAGCCGGGGGCGGGGCCTGCGGGAGGGGGCGGGCCCGAGGCGAGGCTCCGCCCCCTCGCGCCGTCGCCTAGCGACCGTCCGCGCGCCCGGGAGCGGGGTCCTTCCGCCCGCAGACGTCCGGCAACACCCAGCCCCACAGGCACAGGCCCCGCCCCCGGGCTGCGCATGCGCGCTCCTCCGCGGCCCCGCCCACTCCCGCGCTAGGGAATTTGCGGGCGAGACGGCGGGGATGGGAAGACGTGCACACCGTGCTTGCGGGCCTCTGGGCGATAGCGCTCAGCCCGTCAGCACTACGGGGGCCCCGAGGCCGCCGCCCCCAGTCGCACCAGCTCCTCGGCGGCGCCCGATGACGTCGCGGGGCCCCACCCACCACCGTGTAGCCCCGCCTCCCCTCCAGCCCCGCCCCCGTGAGCCGAGCTCCTCCCACACCCGTGACAGGCAGACACGGGCACCCGGAAGGCCACGAGCGGAGCGCGCATGCGCCAGTCCCCGTCGGGAGCCGCAGCCTGGGAGCTCGGATTCGCCGCAGCCAATCGGGTCACGAATGAAAAGGCGTCTCGCCTTGTTAACCAATGGGGATCAGACCCAGGCCTTGACTGAGCCGACGCCCCTACCCGTTTGCGCTTGCGCACGCTGGAGTAACCAATCGTAGGTCAGGAGTTGCATGACGAGACGGGGCTGAGCCAATCAGAACTCTGCTGGCGTCTGTGGGCGGGGCGGGGCGGGGCTGGAGCGGGCGCCTCCCGTCTCTGCTCCCCGCGCCCTCCCAGCCACAATTCCAACCTGCGACAGCTGGCCCTGGCCATGTCCTTGAAGTGGCGACCCCCGGCCATTGCTACCGCACGTTCCTTGAGAAGGCCGTTCTTTCCCAGTCGTGTCAGAGCCTGGCGGACCTTTCCACCCTTGCGATTGCCCACAAGGTCACTGGACAGTGCATGCGTCTGAGTCCTCTTTCCTGTCACTCGTCAGGGTACAAATGTGTGTGGTTAGTATAGGCGTACCAGGCGACTGTTCTTTTTGAACATTTGAAAACGATTCTGTGTGCTGCAAACACCTAGCTCTGGAGTAACTACACATTTTCACTTAGCACAGCCTAGAGCAAGTGCCCTGTCAAAATCAAAATGTAAACTACCGTCTCTCCTTCCTTCGTATCCTTGGAGGTTTGGGTCCAGGACACCTCCCAAACCAAAAACCTGCAACGCCCAACCCCTTACGTGAAATGCCATGTTTGGATTTAGCCTACACGGCCTCCTATATACCAGTTATCTCTAGATTCCCTGCAATGCCTAATATACTGCAGATGTTAGGCAAATAGTTACTGTATAGCATTTGGGAGGGGGAAATGAATCGCATAACAAACCCATAGCTCAGTACAGAATACCAGCAATAGTTTTGAACCATCTCAGGCTGAATGAATGAATGCAATGGTATGCTGATACAGTCCAGTCATTGTTTCTGCCTATATAGGTCAGCCATTACTTCTCTGTTATGTACTATGAAGATTTAAGAAGCTGAGTCTTAGCCAGAGAATTGGCAGTGAAGGAAAATTAGGAAGCATCAGGTGTGCTTCACAGGAGCATAGTCGTGTAAGGAAGTGACTAAAATTGAGCTCGTGTCGGAATGACTTTGGCAGCCATGTTTCAGGAGGGCGAAATAGTCGGCGCTGTAGCTGGATTTTTAGAAGTCTAATGTTCTGTAAGACTAGTAGGCTGGCTTGTGATTAGTTCATCTCGGTAGCAGCTACGGTTTTCTGTGTGTTTGGGTGGTAACGTTCCCAGGTGCACTGGGGATTAAACAGCCCAGAAGCATCACAGTTTCTCTGTTGATGTAGCAGTCAGCACTGGTTGCTTTTCTCATTGCTGTGGCCCAAACACTCGACAAGAGCAACTTGAAGGAGGAAGAGCTTCTTTTCACTCATGGCTCACAGGTCTGGAAGCAGCTAATGGAGTTCTGGGCATCCTCTTTCCCCTTTTAATCAGTCCAGTACCCTAGTTGGTAGTATGGTGCCCTCAGTTAATCTTCTGTGGAGGAGCCCTCACGGGCATGGCCAAGAATGTGCCCTGGTATGCTGTAGGCGCTCTTCAGTCCAGTCTTAGTTGGCAGCTGAAAGTAACCTTCGCGTAGTCCATCCTTCTAGTCCCAAGCAATGTGATGGAGCTGAACATCCACACAGGGCCAGTGATGTGGGGTCTGGGCTTGTCTTAGGATTTGGGATCCAGGAGATAACCTTAAGCAAGTCTTTTTCTGATTCCTAGTCCCCCACCCCACCCCCAGAGTTGGACTGAATTAGAGTGAACGTGAAAACCAGCCACGGTCGGATCCCCAGTCACATCTGGACGAGGCACTAATGGGGCCGTTCTCCTTGACATTTTACTTTGTTCGGTGCAGAGAATGCAGTCTGTGATGTAGTTGCAGCTCTGTTTTTTTTTTTTCCCCCTCCATGTGTTTTCCATTTCACGAAAGTAGATTCTTTTGTGCTTTGTCACCGACAGATAAAGCAAAAGCTATGGGCAGGAATGCATTCCCTCACAGTTATGGTCGGATGATGGCACAGTCCCGCTCTGCGGTGGTATGAGGAACTGATTGCAAAGGAGAGCCTGCTACAATTTCAAGGGTGCCGGGATAGGGCGGGGTGGCCTATAGCGCTAACCCCAGCTCCTAGGGCTTGCCCAGAATACACAGCGAGTTCAACGCCAGGATGGGAAGCTTAGTAAGGGCATAAGGAAATTTAGTTTTGCCTCAGATGTGTAAATCCGCTCGGCAGTGGAGACCCTAACACTGAGCACTGGCACCACGGGGTCCCCGGCTTCAGAAGCCTGTTGCTGGGAGAACGGGGAAAAAATGAAACCTGATTTCCCTTCTCCCCACTGGATCTGAAGGGAGATGTCTCACCTATATCCAGACACCCTCAATTGTCACACTTGTGTTACCATGGAAACCCAGCTCCTTTCCTTGTGTAAAAAATGTTTCCAAGGGTGGAATGGAGTGGGAAGTGTACTGTTCCCTGGCTTTGTGAGTCCGGCAAGAAGCAAACATGCACAGATTTTAGTGTAAACCAGTCTGCGGTGACATTTGTGCCTTAACCAGGGCGTCTCGGTTGTTAAATGCTGGCTCCCTTTGTGAACGGTCACAGGGAGGATGTTGAGCTTCAGGGAAATGCTGCTGGTGGCAATGGAGAGGATGGGGACCTTTCTAGGCCTCCGAGACCGCTCACACGCAGCTAAGTGGGCAGGCGTGAAGGATAGAGAAAGAAGATAAACATGGTCTTATGAAATCTTAACGTAGCTTGGTACTTTCGAAAGGAAGTGAACTAGACTGCAAGTACAATATGCAGAGTGTCTATGAAAGAAATCTCTCGGGTGAAAAACTGTTTCAAAGAGGCAGCTTTGAGGGATCATTTCTGAAAGAGAAGGCTTGCTGGTTAAGGGAGAAAAGGAAAAGCCTGGTGAAGCTTGAGAGCTCAAGGGTCTGAGGGAACAGAGCAGAGCGGTGGGTAGTGCCGCCGGTGGCGAAGCCAGGGAGAACGGGATTGGCATTAACAGCAGAGTTTCTGCCGCTGCCCATGGCTGTGCGGAGCTGAAAGACATGTATGTGAAGACCACCAGGCTGGGAGTGGCTGGGGCTCAGGTATCGGTTAGCAAACACCACATCTGTGACAGCGCAGAGAGCAGCCGGTGTCGGAGGGCTGCAAACACGCAGTGCCGTGCGGCCAATGGCATTACACTAATTGAGCATTTGCTCTTTCTCTACCTTCTAGGGACACGGCCTTAAACAGTTGACCAAAAGAGCTTTATTCTAGCAGGAGAGATACACATACTAGCAATTATACTGGATATAGCTGCAATTAATCCACAGTTAAGAGCACCAGCTCAGGAAGGGTGTGCAATGGGCTATACGTAAACGGTAACATGTCATATAACATATACAGAATTAAGATTACAGAAATGGTTTCAAGGCCTGATGATATTATATATCATTTACACAGGAATTTCTGGAGGTCAAGAGAAATGGGGGAGGGGGAGTGGGTTGGTCGGGGATTGGGGAGAGTTGATATAGAGCCCTTTTCTGAAGGAGGCAGCCAGAGGACAGCTTGGATCAGGCAGGAGACAGGGTGGGAACAGAAGAAACCAGGGTGCAGCAGGTCAAGGTAAAGGAAACAAACGAACAAACAATCTAATTGTTTTCTTTTTTCTTTACCAGTAAGTAAAACACACTAAAGCAATTTCTCCTTAAACATGTAGATTTATTCCAGATTGTGTGGTTGAAGGCAGTGTCCTGTATGTTTGCCTCCTCTGTCAGGATTTCTAATGCAAAAGTGGTCAAAATTCAAGGCTTGCCTGGGCCACATGAAGAGTTCAAGGCCGGGCTGGGAAACTTAGTAAGACTGTGTTTTTTAAAGTAAGGTTAAAAAGAGTTAATATGGCTCAGCAGTGTGGCATTTACTTGGCACTCAGAGGAAGACTTAGGTTCTGAGGTGGTTTGACTAAAAATGGCCTCGTGCGTGGGCTCACAGGGAGGGGCATGACTAAGTTATGTGTCCCTGTCGGACTGGTGTGTCCTTATTGGAGGAGGTGTGTCACTGGGGTGGGCTTTGAGGCTTCAAATGCTCAAGCCAGGCCCAGGCTCGCTCTCTGCTGCTATGGCTGAAGATGTAGTCTGCCCGCACACTGCCCTGCTCCCCACATGATGATGA